CGTCACGACTTAACCCTTCAGGCCCCGGCTCCAGTGTTACCTCCTAAAGGCATATCCTGGCTCTGAGCTCATTTTTTTCACCAGGCAATATAACTTAGGTGCCAGTCCTCTCCGCTGAGGGTAGCTGGACAAGGGCAGAGAGGCTCTAAGCTCAAGAAAATCGTTTACACGGAAGATCCTGCCCTGCTACATAAAAGTCCTGTCCGGTGCTGTCCTGCTGTCCCAGTGCTCCAAAACTCCCTTTTGGAAGGACCATCCTTTATTGTAGTATTTGTCACCTTGCTTTGTGGTAGCTGATTTTTTGTATTTCTCTTTCCTAGTTTCCCATCAGGACACTTTGAGTTCTTTGAGAACAGAGATTATTTTGTACCTCAGCATCTAACGCATTACCAGAGCTTTGGTGGCAGTCGAATTGAGTTTAGATGTTCCTATTGCCAAAATACTTCTAGAGCAGCATCCTTGGAGTGCTCCCAACTCCCAGTCCTTTCTCTTTCAACCATCCTTTACCTGTCTCAAGTTCTGCCCCCTTCACCCACACCACTTCAACCCTACTTCCATGAATTTCTCACCAAGGACTTCAGTCCATTAGCTGTTTCCTTTCTGTGGGCACTTACTCCACTTACAGTCTGTATTGTATAATTTCATAATTTAGATTGTATTCATAACTCTATCAATGAGATTGTAGGGGTTTTGGGGTTAGAGATTCTATCTTATCCTTAATTTTTTTCAGTTAGTCATATTTATTGCAGTCTTGGGCACATGGTCAGTGTTCAGTAAATACTGATTTACTTAATTTTACAGACTAATCCTGTTTCCTAGGGAAAGTCTTCTAAACTAGCATAAGGAGAGTAGAAGATTCTATCCAGTCTGAGCATGCTGCTGCCAGGACTGCTTTCCATTCATCCATGGTACAGTTTCTCCTTTGGAAGAACCATGTTACTCTTTTACATTCCATATTCATATTCTGGTATCTCTGCCCTTTTATGTGTCTTGGTATCATTATATGCCTTATATTGACAATTACTTTTAACCATGTTTTTGCGTTATAGTAGCCATATATACAAGGACAGCACATCACCATTTAAAGATTAATAATGCTGATGATGATTTCTAATAGCCAGCTTTGTTGAGGAATTATTTGCAATTAAATATTTAAAATGTTTGGTAGATATTTTGACCTTTACAATTGGAGAAATCAAGGCTTATGGGTATTAAGTAATGTTCCTAAGTCTCATGGTGAACTAATAACAGAGCTGGAACTCAAAAGCAGGTTTGTCTGGCACAGACTATTCTTAACCACTGTGTAGCTAACCTGCAAATAAAATGTTGATGATGAATTCTGGTTTTTCTTCTCCGCCTCCCATTAACTCTTGTCTGAATCTTTTTGATAGTCTCTCTGTGACTCTATCTCTGATTTATTCTTTTCCTCTGCCATAAAAGTGAGACTTGGTCCCAGAAAGTAGAGGATATGGGAAGTAGATATCTGAGGATTAACTAAGTAAGGGTTCTTCCACTGGTTGGGTTAGTTTAGGTGGTATAGCAGAAAGGCCTCAGCCAATCTGTCTCTATAGAGCTGACTTAGAGAATTGGGAGTCACCTAATTTGGGCAGATAAGGAAACAACTAATCAAAAAAAAACTAAGTTTGGACCACTGAAGTTAAAGATGTGAGTTGTAGATAATAGTTGTGGGAATGAAAAAGAGACTGGGTTCCAGTTTGAAAAATTGGACAGGGCAGTTTGATTTTCATTACTATTTCTAGGTGAGAGAAGTTCACTGAGTCTAAGGAACCCATATTGAGCTTTTTGCACTGGGCTTAGGGATTCTATCTTCTCACCTCTCCCTGAAAGAGCTACATATTTTCATATGCTTAACTGTTCACTACCTCTTCCTAATTCCATCCATTTAGAGCCAATGGCTAGGGAAAGCAGACATGGATAGCTCATCCCTAACATCCTAATCCAGGACCTTGACGGTCACTATGCTGTATATGTTCTCATTACCTTTCCAGAGCTACTCTCCATATTTTTGCCCTGTCTGTGCTCTACATGGTTAACTTCTGTGGGCAGCATCACATAGGCTCCCTTGTACTCTGGCTTCCCATTAGAACAGGTCAGTGGGAGGCACTAGCAGATCTTTGTTAGTGGCTGAGTTCCTCTACCTGAGGCCATGGCTTCCGCTGAAGCTCTAGCCTTCTCCTTTGGCTACAGCTCTCACCAGGTTCCAATAACTGTCCCTTTAGGTTTAAGACTGGTAAAGTCTTCCTACTGTTGTGAGTCTCTGGATGCTTCACTATTCCTTTGCTTATTAGCCCTGGCCACACCTTTGTAAATAATCCCGTCAGTCCACACCAGTTAGCCCTTCAAAGGACTAACTGTGCCATCTGTTTCCTGCTAGAACCCTGACTAATTCAATCACTTTCTTTTTTTGCTAGATCTTGCTTATATTTCCTACTTTGTAATTTCTTTTGAATCTATTTCTAATTTTTATGCTCAGCATCCTTAGTCCAGACCTTCCGCAACTCAATTTAATATGATTGAATACCTGTACTATCCTAGGATCTGAGACAATTACTTTTCCCCAATCTTTTGCAAGTCTCAACTGGTTTAGTGTCTCCTGTCTCTAAATTCTACTGCCACATTGATAATCAAAATCAATACTTCAATTAGGTTCTGTCCTTCCTCAAACATCTTCAGTGTCTTCCAGATGCCTGTAAAAAATAATAAACTATGTAGCCTGACATTTAATCCCTCCATTACCCTACCTTTTCAACCTATTCACCTATATAGCCTTCAATTCTAAGTTTATTAACCATCCCTTAAATATGCCTTGTGCTTTCTTCCTACAATACTTTTGCTTATGCTGTACCACCTACAAGGAATTGTATTTCTCATCACTTATTTAAATACTATTTGTCTTTTAATGCTGAGCTCCAACCTCAACTCTTCTGTAAACGCTTCTCAGACCTTAACGAGTGGAAATGATCTCTCCCCAAAACAGTGGTGTTTATTGTCTGTTCTATTTTTTTTTTTAAATATATCTTTATTGATTTCAGAGAGAGGAAAGGAGAGGGAGAGAGAGAGAGAGAAACATCAATGATGAGAGAGTCATTGACCTTGCCCGCAACCCAGGCATGTGCCCTGACTGGAAATCGAACCCCGATGGCCTGGATCCCAGGTCGACGCTCAACCGCTGAGCCATGCCCGGCTGGGCTGTTCTATTTTTTTAAATAGCTAATTATGTCATGCCTTATGAGATATGTTATATAAATCTTTTATGGTTATTTAACAAATATACCAACTCTGTGACATACTAGCTGTGTGAACTTTAGGCAAGTTCCTTCCCTCCCTCCTTTCTTCTCTTCTTTTGCTGCTTATGTTGAGCATCATGCATGCCAGGTGCTATGCTAAGTGCCAAGCTTGGTCACCTTGGTCACGAGGTCCCTGGTGCCCAAATGCTAACATGAATCCCAGTCACATGGAACTTAATATCTGAGCAAGACAGAAATTAGTCAAATAAATTTACAAGTAATATAAAATTGCAGCTGAGGTAAGAACTATGAAAGGAATATGGAGTGTAATCTCAGTTTTTAACAGGTTTGGTCTAAGATGGGCATAGAGAGAGTTGACAAGGTTGGAAGTTGGCAAGCAGTGTGGATCGTCCCACAGAAGCAGGTGCAAAACTTATGACTGTAAACCCCTGTGTATCATGTCTTCTGTTTCTTTATTACTTGAATGGTATATCTTCCACCTGATAGAAAGTCAGTATTTGCTGATTTTTCTTGAATCTTACATCAAATGTGTTCTAACCAGAACTCTTAGGTTGATACCTAATCCCTTGCCTAATACCTGTCCCTGTGAAATGTTTTCCACAGAGATCTCACTCTTTGGAACACGCTGTTAATGGCCCTTAGTGTATGCTGCTTGTTATTTTAGCTTGCCCTCCTTGTAAGTTTGTAAATTTCTTAAACTTTAAGGAACTATGTTTCATATAGCTGATGTATCACATATGTCGTATGATTCATCTTTAAATTAGTGTTTTCCTAATGTAGATAAGTATTTTATTGATTATAAGAGTCCCAATTTTCTCCTCCCTCCTTCCTTGGTTCTTACATTTCTGGGGAATAAGAGTCAGTGACTGGTATCTGTTGTGACTTGTCAGAAAGAATTTAGAGCTAAATACTGAACCAGGCCTTTTTCAGGCTAGTGACAGATACGAGTAGGAGGGAAATCCATTTCTTTGAGAGTTGGGGGGCAAGAAATGGCCAACAATTAATCAAATAGGCTTATTGAACCTTGAGGATATGTAAGGAATATCTACATGGTAACATGGAAGGGAAGTTGGGCATGTCATCACTGGCAAAGGGACAGTGCCCAGGATCCAAAGCAATTTGACTTTCCTGAATTAAGCTAAGCCAATTTTCAGATTTCTGGGTTTTAATTTAAAAAAAAAAAAAATCTTGTCCTTTAAAAACTGACTTTGAAAGGTATTTACTAAAAGATCCTAAAGTTAATGAGGGGAGGTATAAGAAAGGTGTAGAGGGAATGGATAGCAATGAAGGGAAAAGGTATGGCTGCGTGATCAGAAGTTCTTCCAGCGCAGCCAAATTCAGTCTCCTTTCCAGGTATGCCTGTGAGTTCAGGTCTTAATAATAGGAGTGGTTTGGATTTCTAAAAGAAGCTAGAGTGAAGAACAGAGATTCATCCATTTTATTTAGTAGCTTGTTCTGAACAGACAAAAATAAAATAAATCAGAAAAGTCTCACACATCTTTTTCCTACATAAGTTTGATCTACTTTAGTCTTGAATGCAATGGGTGGGAAAGCTATCCCTAGATACTTTTGCTTCAGTACAGTTGGCCATTACTGAGCCTGGAGGCCCATGCTAACTTTACCCCAAACATAGTGTTATTTTACAAATAAATTATGTTAAATAGCACAGGTAAAGGTCCAGGGTAGCAGCCTTGGGAAGGGAGCAGTGTCCCTGATTTATAGCAATAATAAAACTGGCTTCCTTTCTCTGCTAAGGCCTTATAGGGAAATCCCTGGATGGTCTTACTAGCTGACAGGTTGAGGGAATACTGAGCTGAAGCACAGAGTAGGGATCTCAGAAGCCTCTCATGTGCCTGCACAATCCCCTAGGGCATCTGGTAGCCCCACTCGTCTTCAAACAGAAGCATCAAAGCCAAAGCACTACACCCCCGTGCCCAAATGCTAGGTTTGGGACTCAGGACACCTCTAGCATAGGCAGCACTTTCTCTGGGCTTCTTGCAGCCACATAGAGGGCTGAGCCTCTGCCTTTGGATTATCTTGGACCCAACACCTCTTTCATCCTGGCCTTTGGGTTCTAAGATCAAGGCTTCTCTGTAGTGCCTCCATACACCAAAGTGTGCAGCTTCTCAGCTGAATACCCGTGGCCTCCGGGGCCTGGAGCTGCATCTGCCCCCACCCTTGTGGAGTAAGAGGAGAGTCAGTGCACTTCAAGAGAGGGAAACAGAAGCATGCTTTTATTTACACAATTTTAAAAGTGCTGCAGTGACAGGACACTTCTGGGGATAGGAGTACACAGCATAAGTAGGAATTCTTCTAGATTTCTATGGATGGAGTGTCTCCCTTTTCTTCCTGTCTCCCTAGTCCTATCAGCAACACAGGCTTTATCGGAAGCCTCAATGGACAGACGCCTCTTTTATTTCTGAAGAGAAGCTTGCACCACTCCTTTCCCATAATCACACCTGAAAGCCTTCATCAGGTATCTCACTTCATGTTAAAACTAGGATCACTGTTAAGTTTGGAAACCTGGGGAGCCCTACCCCAAAACCAGAGCAAGGTATCTGCCCCCATGCTAATATCTCTGAACACTTCCTTTCTGTACATTCAGTATATTTGGTCCTATATACATCTATACATCTATATACATATCTCTCTATATACACACACATATATATATACATATACATACATATATAGATATGTATATATATATACTGTTTCTCTAGATAAGCCTTTCACATATATCCTAATTTCCTGAGCCTCCACCTGCCTCTTGTTTGGTAGCTCACATAAAGCTCAAGGGTTTCTTTGATTTCACTAAGTTCCTCAGGAGCACACTTTCTCACCTTTTGTTTTGCTCTCATCAGTTGTTTTGCTCGTCCTCTGAAATCTCCCTCCCTTAACATCTGTGCCCAGTGCTCTCCTGACATGTCAGGTCCGTGGTTGGTAGAGTCAAGGGCCTCATTTCTCACCAGACCTGGCTGCTTCTAAAGCCTGAACGGATTTCCGCTCGGAAGAGATGGGGGCTGTAGTCTAAAGAGCCACCTGGGGCTGATGGTGGGGGTGTTCCAGAGGGCAGAGGAGGGGGGCTTTTGGGAGAATAAACCAGGTTGTATTAAAAGGACAGTATGATTTAAAGTGCAACTTAGAGTGAAGTCTGGGACCATGGAGGAGAATCTAAGTGAGAAATGTTCTCATTTTGTTATCCAAGAATGTGAGAGAATCTGGGGGCTCAGAATAGACATCGGGGTGGGAAGGGAGTGATTCCCGCAGAAGGGAAGCAGCTGTGTGCCGGAGAAGCGAGATGGTGGAGAATTGCTAATGGATATGAAGACGTACACGCACACACTGCAATACTTTTTGCCCTTACACATTGAAAGAAACCAGTAAGTCTAATGCTGAATAAAGTTGAGAGCCCAGGAGCTGGCTCTTTGCCTTCTATTCTGTTTCAGATTTTTAAGTTTTTCTGGTTCTTTCTTAAGAGCAAAGGAGTAGTGGGGGGTTTACAGTGAATGGAGAACAAAGGGTCTTCATTTTCAAGATACAATTAGAGCCCGAGGAGAGAGCAATATAAGAGGATCTTGTGCGATTGTAATAATTGGTCACCGTGAGTCCAGCCTCAAAATTTTGTGTTTCTCTGCAAGGCTCTGCACACAGGTGCATGTACACATTCTGTAGAAGTGTGTAGCTTGTAACAGTTGGCTGAGCCCACCTTAAATAGGCTGCCACTCGATTCATACAGGGACTCTATACCAAACCACTTTGGGGTGGGGTGGGGCGGTTCCTTGGTACCTAAATGAGACCAGGAAGCACTCTGGGGATTTGGGGTATTAGAAAAAGTACTGGTGCCCATATGCCCTTCCTGACCCCTGCCACCGTTGCCACCAGGGAACAAGGAATGGCCTGAGTCTGATCTCTTAAAGTATGCCTTTTAACTTGCCTGAAACTAGCCTCGTGGCAAAGGAAAGGAGAAATGAGATTGATATTCATTGTATACCAAGTCTCAGGAATGGCTGAGGGAGACAGTGGTTATTTGATCAGGAGGTATGATTTCCTTTCCTCCCAGCATTGCCTAATGAAATAGTTGGCACTTTTCAGAAGGGAACTGGGAGGGGTAGCGGAGAATAGTGTCTGCCAGCCACAGAGTTGTGCCTCTGCCCAAACCTTAACAAAGCATCCCCAATTCCCAGAGGCTCTATACAACAGTCTGGAAATCTGAGAATTTACTCATCCCACTTGGTCTGGTTGGTTTAACTTTCCTGGGAACTCTGTACTCTGTGAGTCTAGTTTTAGTCAAACATCAGTGTTAAGAGAGGGAGGCTTTTGCATTTCCCCTCCCTTCCTCTGAAGTGTTGGGGTTAAGGGAAGAGTGGGCTGGGCAGGAAAGAAGAGAAGCCAGGGGCAGTGTAATTTGGAACACCATTTCCAGACCTTACCATGGAGTCTAGGCACTGGCCTTTCCTCAGGGGAACATATTGGGGAGGGGCATCACATTCATAGGACACAGGGAAACCAATCCTTCCAGGGCAACCTGAAGGACAGGTTCAAGGATTTGGGCAATAGTTCTGCAGTGGTTACTCCACATTGAAGAGTTCAGAATCCAGGATGGATGCAGCTATGGTGGTTGCAACTATAGGTTTTCTATTTCCTGGGTCAACCCAATCCCCTGGGAGCAGAGGCATCTATGAGATAACTGGGTATCCTGATGGTCCACTTTAGAAACTAGAAAGAGCAAAACAGTGGTGACCAAGGTCCTAGGTTCAGTCAGGAGTTGCCAACAGAAATTCACCATGAAAAACCATGACTTCTTTCGACGGGTTGGTAGACACTCCGGTACAAATTGATTCCAGATTCCTATATTTCTGGGGACACAGAGCCTAAGGGGACTTTCTAGGTAGAGAGTTAGAGAGGGAGGTACTCCAGCCTCAAATCACCAAAATGTCTGGTGATGGTGGGAGGTCAGGGGGAGTCTATCCATCCAACTGCATGGTCCCCCTAATGTGAGTCTCCAAGCACAGCTGAGGCCTCTAAGCCTTTCAGCCTAATCTTCCCTCTCCTTCCCCCATCCTGGCTTAAGGGGTGGGGGTGGAGGGGTATATAATGCAGTGGAAGTGGGGTGAGGTGAAAGGGGAGAATGGGAGGAAAACTTGGGCTCCAGTTGGCCTAGACTACCCACAGGCCACTGGGTTAAAGGAGAGGGAGTGGGGAACGGGTGCTTCTGGAACTCTCCAGTAAGCCTGGGTAATAGCCTCACCCAGAGTGCCAAAAAGGGAAGCAAGACTAGAGGGACAGGGAGGTGGGAAACCAAGGCATCAGACGTTGCTGATGCGCACACTAAGGGCACTGCCCTCCTTCTCAGCTTGTTCCCTGAATGACTCCTCCAGCTTGAGTTTTTCGGGGTCTCCGTAGCATACAGTGCTGTCACGTAGGCCACTAGGAGGGGCCACTTTCACAACTTGATCAAAAAGGCTGAAGTCAGCTATGTATTTGCCACTGGCTGACAGCGAGATGGCAGGTGTGAACTCATAGCCCCAAAGGATCTCCTCTGGCAAGTAGGAAGTACGTACTTGGCAGGTGGCACTGGTGGATTCCACTGTCCCACTTAGGATCAGCACCAGCTCAAAGTCACCCTCACCACTGCGAAGGGGAAGGTCTTTTAAGGGACTGGTCTCATCTACCACATGGTAGAAGGTGAGGGGTAGGATGAGGAATGGGCTGTCAGAGGCTGTGTCTACTTGGAAAGTCACGTTGACCTGGTTAAGCCGGATGTTCTCACCCTCCTTGGTCTGGTGGGTCTGAAGGAGCTTGCCCGTCACCTGGCAGCCAATGAGCAGGCTCTTGCGCATATTGGCAACCCGAATCATAAGGCAGGGCTTCCCATCGTGGGCAGCTACAACCGCGTGCTGGCTGAAACGGATGGTCTCGGCCCGCTTCTTGGGCCGAGCGATCTTGGCCAGGAAGGTGCCCGTGATGAAGATTTCCAGGATGGTGGTGAGCACCAGCTGGGCGATCAGAAGCACGATGGCCAGCGGACACTCCTCGCTGATGTAGCGGAAGCCATAGCCGATGGTGGTCTGGGACTCAAGGGAGAAGAGGAAGGCCCCGGTGAGGGTGTGCACCTGAACCACACAGGGCGTGTGGTTAGCGGGGGGGCCCAGCTCCAGCAGGTCCCCGTGGGCCACAGCTACCAGGTACCACACCACACCAAAGAGGAACCAGGTGCCTGCAAAAGTCGCAGAGAAGAGCAGAAGCTTGTAGCGCCACTGCATGTCGATGAAGGTTGTCCACAGGTCTTTGAGGTAGAGGAAGCGCTTGTCAGCAATGTGCTCCATCCTCACATTGCTGCGACCATCTTTTGTCAGAACTCTCCGCCGCCGTATCCCGGGGCCCATTAGCGGCCGGCTTTCTGTCTGAGTGGTCTGACTGTAATACACCTTGGCAACTGATGTCATCTGGAGGGAGCAAGACAGTATAGTGGAGGTTACTGCGGAAATCCAGCCAACTCCTAGCCGCCACCCCATGGGAAGGAAGAAGTAGCATTCATTTTGGTATCACTGATTTATTCTTTTATTAGAACGTATTTATTGAGCACTTGCTATATGCCAGGCACTGTGCAAGATGCTGGTAAGTCAAAGATGAAAATGACATCATCCTTGCTCTCCAAGAACTTGCAGCCTGATGAGAGAGATGTGTTCAGTAAACCAGTAATTACAATACAGTCTGATATTTGTAATTCTTAGGAGAGGCAGAGAGGAAAGTAATAAGTTCACAGTTCCTTGAAGGCGGGGCCAGAGTAAAGAGGGGCTCTACTGGTCATCACAATGCCAATTCTGTGAAGATCTCTAATTTTGAAATCCCTCCCGCCCTCATGAATGACATCAGCAAGAACAACTACCCTGTTGAGATCCTTGCAGGCCAATCCCCCTTAACGTGCACATATCCTTAGTTTCTCCATTCTTTCCCCTAGCCCCAAGTCAATAATCGATGTTGATACTAAGATATTCATCTGGCCCAGAAACTGCCCATTCTTCTTCCCTTCAAGATGTTCTCTAAGCACCCAGGCCGTTACACTATGTTAGTATTAGTATCGTCACCACCATCATCATCTATTTGCATCCTCTGGGGAACTCTGGTCTGGGTTAGGGTCTAGGGTAGTATTAGGAAGAGCACAGACAGGACAAAAAGAGTAAGTAATAAGGGCAGAGGAGAAGCAACGGCCCGTTTTCCCAGGGACTGGGAGAAATGCCAGCTTGGAGGTGGCAAAACTGTCCTGCCTGAGGCAGGGAGGAGCAGTAAGAGTTCCGTTAGTGGCTAAGTGGGCGCAAGCTTAGTTCAGGATGGCTGTTTGTCCTACTAGTAGAAAGTGGGACAGGCTCTGAAACAGGAGACGGGTCACTCAATTTAAGGCGTCTGGCACCCCTGCCCAAACGCTAACTTGTACTTTTCCAGCAGAGAAAGAATTTTAGTCACTTGAGCCCTTGACTCTGGATCTGATGACCAGATCTTCTGGGAAGGAGAGGGCGGTCTCTGAAGGGTTTGGTCCTTGGAGAGCAGAGAGGCTCATCATATTCTCCGTTCTGAGAAGTCCGAGCCATTGCGCTTTCTCAGTCACACTGCCCCCTGCTCTGTCCTCTCCATGGCCGTATGCCTTGAGAACTGTAAGTTATTTGGGTCCATTCATATACCCATCCAAGTGGGCACTGAACTGGAGATCACCAATGGATGGAAATCTCAGAATGTTCAGAGGCAACCAGGAGCACCTTTTACCCGCCCCCACCCACTTGGAACTTTTGCCCAAGTGAAACTACTCAGCCAGACCTGGATGTCATCCACTTGCCCAATAGCCTTAGCTACTTTGGAGCAAAAAGGAAGCTCTGTAATTCTGAAGTTTGAAAAACTTACTTAGAGCCCCAGTAAAACCCCATTCACTACTCAGTAGCAGTTGTAATATTAAGAAACAATCACCACAATGCCTGCATCTATATACTATTTTAAAATTTACACATTAGTATGCCTTCTCATTTGGTCCTCAAACTCTTGCAAAGATGTGAAACCTCTATAAGAGATTTTGAGGAACTCTTAGAGAACAGAAGAAGTGCTGGAAAGCTGTGGGTGAATGAACAGAATTTTAATTTTCACTAAGAAAAATGAGGTACATTTCCCAAACTACAGACAAACAGGTGAGATATTGATCCTAGGCAGGATTCTAGAATGGAGCATTAAGATTGTGAGTACTTGGGTAGGGTGGAGGAAAGGCAGTTATCAGTAGGACCTGCCATGAGCTACTAAGATCAAGTCACATCAAACTTAACCTAATTTCCTTCTGTAACAAGGTTACCAAATTGGCAAATCAGAGAAATGCAATAGATAAAATATATCTAAGCAAGATATTTGACAAGACCTCTCATTGTGTCCTTGGGGATACGACAGAGAAAAATGAACAGAATGCTACTGTGATTAGGTGAGTTAAAAAATCAGTGGTACTGGCGAGTGGATCATGATAGCCTGGAATCAGTTTTCTAGTGATGTATCAGAAAACTTTATCTTAGGACTTTCCCTTGGCTATTACGTGGCTATCAATTATGTGGATGACACACAGCTGGGACAGATCTTAAATGCAAGGTTGGGGGTTAGAATTAGGATCCAAAAGAAGACAGATGAGTGGACCAAATCAAAAAGGATAGATATTTGTGTCCAAAAATTACCCAAGCAAGTTCTAGATTGGAAAGCAGAACCATGAAGATAAATTTTGGCAGAAAATAATCATGTATGGATTACCTATGTTTTTTTGGTTGCCAAAAAATCAATGCAATCTTTGGCTACTTTAGTTGGATTAAAATATCTAGAGTAAGTAAGTGATTCTGCTCTGCTCTGTTTATCCCACACACCTGCAATATCGAGTATCAAGGAACAATCAGGACATGGGAGCATTCAGAACCAGGTCATACAAGAAATGGTTGAAGGAAATGGAAGTTTAATCAGGAAAAGAAATTATCTGAGAGATGTGATGGCTGTGTGCAAATATTTTGTTCGAAGGGCTGTCAAGTGAATGGGTTTGTACTTTTCTTTGAACCCCAAGAGCAACTACAGGACCAGTGAGTTCAAACCACAGGGGGAAAGATTCTAGATTGATATGACAAAGAACTCTGTAACAATCGGGACATCCAAATGTGAAAAGAACTTCTCAAAAGGTAGTGAGTGCCCTGTTCCTGGAGGTGTTCAAGGATATGTTAGAAGAGTCCTTTACTAAGATTCTTTAGAGGAGATTAAAGCTTTGGTTGGGAGGTTGAAAGATTGTCTTTAAGCTCCCACTCATGGATGCCTGCCCCCTCCTCCCCATCTCTACCCCGGCACTTCCCACTGTGACATTGGGATTCTTCATCAAAGTCCAGCTTTGTTTGTGCTGAGCAGAGATTCTGCATATCTGGAGGGATGGAAGCTCCTGGGACTCAAGGAAAGCCTTGCTTATCCCCAAAATAACAGCCTCTGATTACAGATCACTTTCCCATTAATAAAATATAATTTGACCTCTCCACTGTGAGGTAAATAGGAAAGGCATCGTTAGAAACGAAGGCTCAGAGAGGTTTGCCCCAAGTAGGTCAATGGTAGATTTGGTCTTCTGGCTCCTGATCCAGAACTTTGTAATCGTAGCAACTGCTTCGGTGTTCCTCAGGTTCATCCTTAACGTTTTCAGGAGGTGTCTCTGTGGAACCCTGTATGGAGGATCACAGCTGAGACAGAGAAGACAGAGCCTGGAGCTTCTAGAGCCCAGTGTTAAGGCTACAGACTTGAAGGCACCTGAGATTTGGGTTACTGGCTAAAACTGTTGCGATTGCCACCACCAGCTGTATGCCTGCTGTTGCCAGCCTTTGGATCTGTCTCCTCCAGCTGTTATCTGTAGCTCCCAGCTATTGTGCCACCACCCACAGCCAAGCAGCTTTGTTCTCTGAGATAATAAGAGTCAGAAGCAGATAAACAATCAGCTACTCTCCACTCCCAGCTGGCCAGGCCCCTGGGAAGGGAGCAGGCCAAAGTTCTGGAAACGGTGGTTACTATCCCACCTAAAACATGTACTCTTTCCTCTAGAGGGTGCTGTTTCCCCAAAACGGTCCCTGTCAGGTGCCAGGGACAGGATCTGAAGAATTCTGAAGACAAGACCAGCCTCTGAGTGGTGAAAAGAAACAGAAACATTTGTTCTTTCTCCTCTAAAAATTGAACTAATGATTCTTTCCCTGAAACAAAGGCCAGTGATACCTACAGAGATATTCAGCATGTTCCCGCAGCAAATACCATTCCTGCCTGTTGCTTCATGCCTGTAGATCAGCCCAGAGCTCTCCGTCTTTGCCTGAGAGCTCATGAGTCATTTGTTCTCCACAATGAATGGATTTATCTGAGCCTTTCTTGAGGACAGGACTGCTCTGGAGTAGGAGCACTGCTCTGATGCCTCGGGACTAAACATGATCCGTGGCTCTCCATTGCTTTTAGGGTAAGCTGCAAGCCTCTGAGCACAGTATTCAAGACCTTCTTGATTTGGTCTCTACCTACTTTTTTTTTTAAATATGTTTTTATTGACTTCAGAGAGAGAAAGGGAGAGTGAGAGAGAGAAACATCAGTGATGAGAGTCATTGATCGGCTGCCTCCTGCACGCCCCCTGCTGGGGATCGAGCCCACAACCTGGGCATGTGCCCTGACCAGGAATCGAACCGCGATCTCCTGTATCCTAGGTCGGTGCTCAACCGCTGAGCCATACCGGCCAAGTTCTACCTACTTTTTGGCTTTAGTCTTACCACTATTCTGCATGGACCTTGGACTCCAGCCCTGTAGAGAGCATCACTTTCATCCTTTCTGCCTTTGGACCTGCTCTCACATTGCCCGGTTTCATGCCTATCTGACGACCTCCTACTTATCTTTCAAAACTCAAGTGTTAGTCACCCCTTTGAAGTTTTCCCTGACCATCAAAAAAATAGTTCATCTTCTCTATCTCCTCACCTCCATGGCAGCATGGGGTAAGCAGGGTCTTGTACACATTCCTGTTTTAAAACATCATAATGGACCCAGCAATTCCACCTTTGGGAATTTATCCAAAGAAACCCAAAACACTAATTCAAAAGAATATATACACCTCTATGTTCATTGCAGCATTATTTACAACAGTCAAGATTTGGAAGCAGCCCAAGTGTTCATCAGTGGATGAGTTGATAAAAAAAAAGCTGTGGTACATTTACACAATGGAATACTACTTTGCTGTTAAAAAAAGAAAAAGAAGGAGAAGGAGGAAGCCTGGCCGGCGTGGCTCAGCGGTTGAGCATCAACCTAGGATCCAGGAGATACCAGTTTGATTCCCGGTCAGGGCACATGCCCGGGTTTCGGGCTCCATCCCAGCAGGGGGCGTGCGGGAGGCAGCCGATCAATGACTCTCTCATCACTGATGTTTCTCTCCGTCTCCCTTCCT